TTCAAAAGTCACCGGAATGGGTGAAAGTTCATTTCCATGGAACTCATTAGCTGTCTGTAATTCATTTTCCTAAGGAAAAATTATTCCCTTAGAAGAAATTTCCAAGTTTCTCCATGTAAAATAATTTTATGTCCAAAGCCTATTCATCCCTTAATTCCCAGATCAAGTGCCCCTCCATCACTTACCCCAAAAGCGGGCACTCATCTTTTCCAATCCTGAACTTCATCTCACTTCATCCCTCTCCCCTCTCCTATGATAAGGATTGTCTTAGTAGATTTTAAAGTGCATGCTTCTACCTGTCTATATGTTTCAATAATATTAGCGTTCTTAGGGTTTCTTTAAAAGGGCATATTTTCTTTCAAAATGTATTTTGCATGCAAAAGTCTTAAAGAGACAGCCTCTCACTCACACTGAGGGACTCTCAGAAGGTATAAAGACTAACATGACTCATATGCATTCTCAAAGTGATTTTTGGTTTGGATTTTAATCTGAATATATAGCTAGAAATCCCAGTTTAGGATTAGGAGTGTGTAAAAATTACAATTTTCCTCGATCGAATTCTGGTTTTTCACTTTTTGAAAATGCTTAAAGATAACCCCTTACAAGACTGTTTTGTTGTTGTTGATCAGAGTCCTCTGAGCCATCTTTTTGACTAGACCTGGACCTCGGTCCCTTGTCCTGTCTCTGGCATGCCTCGCCCAGTTTTTGTTGTTGTTGTTTATTTTTAAGAAAAGAATATTTTACACTGAACAATTCTAAAGCAACCGGGATCTGAAATCTACCAAGACAATATCACTCAAACCGTCAATAAACCCTTTTTAGGACTGAACCCTAAGATTGTGCTAAGATTAAAAAAAAAAAAGCAAACTGTCCTCTGGGACAACGAAGAATATTTGTAACACAAAACCTAGCAATCTGGCTAATTTTAATCAGCATCATATACACACAAGCATATACAGAAAACGGGGCTATAAAAATAGCCTCCTGATGTAACTATACTCTTATTTCATAAGAAGACAACCAAGAAATATTCCCTTTAATTTAAATGTCATTTAATGTGGCATGTTCTCCTGATCAAGAAACTGCTGCAAGAGCAAGGAGGGACATTTTCAAAGTCGCTAATTGGGCTCCAAGCCTCACAGGAAACAGTGCAAAAGAACAGATTCTTTTTTTATTTTATTTTAAATTGATTGATTGAACAAATTCTTGTTTCTTAAGGTGCAGACTGCTGAGCATTACAGGGTCCAGTGGTCTCTCATGTGGCCCATGGGCAGTCTCCACTGGCATAACTTAGCATTATTGAAGGAAAAAAAAATCAATTACGATTTTGTCACCCAGGTTCGAATTTGCAACAGGATTATGACTTTTGCATGATTGTTTCATAAGGTTGTGCCAGTGCTGCCGAGACTATGCTTGTCAGAGCTTTTCTATTAACTTTCACAGCATTTGCTTATCGCCATTGTGTTTGGAAAATTTACACTACACAACTATAATTATATCAAGTCATATACTCAATTAACTAAAATAGATGAAAGACTTAAGATCAGGGGTGCCTGCGTGGCTCAGTCATTAAGCATCTGCCTTTGGCTCAGGTCATGATCCCAGGGTCCTGGGATCGAGCCCCGCATCGGGCTCCCTGCTCGGCGGGAAGCCTGCTTCTCCCTCTCACACTCCCCCTGCTTGTGTTCCCTCTCTCGCTGTGTCTCTCTCTGTCAAATAAATAAATAAAATCTTAAAAAAAAAAAAAAGACTTAAGATTAGTTCATAGAAGCCTAGTCACTGACAACAGTAATAAAGGGGAACCTGGGTGGCTCAGTTGGTTATGCTGCTGACTCTTGATTTCAGCTCAGGTCATGATCTCAGGGTCCTGAGATGGAGCCCTGCGTCAGGCTCTGTGCTCAGCAGGGAGTCTGCTCAAGATTCTCTCTCTCTCCTTCTCCTTCTGCCCTTCCCCCCACTCACTCTCTCTTTGTCTCTCTAAAATAAATGTTTAAAAAAAAATACTAATACAAACATAGAGGTTCCATCTTCTGAATATTTATGATCTAAGTCCCAAACATTACAAGGTTACAGGAAAATAAACATCTGATATTCACCAATAAACTAACAATGTAAATACCAGCCCTCATTTAAACATTTCTTCCCACCTAACCCATGCCAGGCACACTGTCATTGGTTTTTATCTTGGATGCCATAAACATCACTGCAAAAATACAGGACTTCACAAGGCTGATGAAAGTAATGTTGAGGAGCTGCTCAACCATGAGCAATGATAGTGGTGACCAAGCCACTGAAAGAGGTCTGCTAATCAACAACCCAGAAAAATATAACATACTGACAAATACATTTCACTTCGAAAGGGAACAATCAGAATATCAAATTTTAAAAATGAACAAAAACCAAATACTACCGGAGAAACTAAAGACTTCAAGTATTTTTGTTAAAATGCCCGTTTTATTATCCCACTGCAAAAGTCAAACGCTATTATAAAATGTTGTCAACAATATCATGCCAACAAAGGAAAATTCAGCAGGATGCTTTACCTTTATGCTAAGAATTAGCACAGTTATAATTGTAACCTACAATGTTCTTAATTACATTTAAAATGTGGTCACAATTTATATTTCCTTTTTCTAGATAAAGTTCTGATCACTTCCCCATCCCACCATTTTCTTGCTCTTTTCATACCCTATTTAATGTGGATTAAATTGGCCTTTACCTGCTATCTATGATTACTAGATAAAACGGACCTCAGAATAACATCAGTAAAGTTAACAAGATTACAAACTTAATTGATAGTGAATCTACCTATGCTAGAAGTGAAACTAAAAATGCACTTATTTCACAAAGACAACCAAAAAAATAAGCCACCAAAACAAAGTCAGAATACAAAGCACAATAATAAGAATTAGGTTTTATTTAACCTGAGAGGTAACTTCCCCTATCCCCAGGGCTTTGTGAGTTAAGAAATTCTGATAAACAGTGTCATGATGCCACCAAAGTTTTCTAATCATTTTTAAACTAAAGACACTGGCCTCTTTTGCCAATAAATTGTTTCCAGATAAAGTTCAAACTAATGCTAGAGGATAAAAACTGATAGTCACTTAAAATAGAAATGAAAAAAAATAAACAATACTAGGACAACTAAATTTCTACATGTGAAAGAATTAACTTAGATCCCTATCTCACACCATACACAAAAATTAACTCAAATTTTACTTTTTTTTTTAAAGATTTTATTTAATTATTTGTCAGAGAGAGAGAGAGAGAGAGCACACAAGCAGGGGGAGCGGCAGGTAGAGGGGGAAGCAGACTCCCTGCTGATCAGGGAGCTCGATGTGGGACTTGATCTCAGGACCCCAGGATCATGACCTGAGCTGAAAACAGATGCTTAACCGACTGAGCCACCCAGGCGTCCCTTAACGCAAATTTTAAATAAGGGGTAAATCCCCATAACCTTGGATTTGGCAATAGATTTTTGATATGCCACCAAGAGCATAAGCAACACAAGAAAAAATGGACACTGATCTTCATCGAAATTAGAACTTTTCTACAAAAGATATTATAAAGAAAGAAAGTGAAAAGATAACCTACACAATGGGAAAAAAAATATTTGCAGGTTGAAAATCTGATAAGGGTTTAATATCCAAAATATATAAAGAACTCCAAAATTCAACAACAAAATGGCAATCTAATAAAAAAAAAATGGGTAAAGGACTTGAAAAGACATTTCTCCAAATAAGATATACAGATGGCCAAAGAGCACATGAAAAGATGCTCAACATCATTAGTCATTAGGGAAATGCAAATCAAAACCACAATGAAGTACCACTTCACACCTACTAGAATGGCTATAATCAAAAATTACAGAATGTAGGCAACCGTCTCGGGTCCCCCCTCCCTCTTTGGGAGCTTTGTACTATTATCACTCAATAAACTTTGCTTTGTTGCCCACCAAAAAAAAAAAAAAATTACAGAATGTAACAAGTAGTGATGAGGATATGGAGAAATTGGAACCCTCCTACAACGCTGGGAGGAATGTAAAATGGTGCAGACTCCATGGAAAACATTTTGATGGCTCTTCACAAAGCTAACTACAGAATTATTATAGAAGTAGGAATTTCAGCTCCTACGTATACACCCAAAAGAACTGCAATTGGGGGCTCAAAACAGATACGTGTACAGCAATGTACATTGCAGCATTATTCACAATAGCCAGAAGGTGGAAACACTCAACTGTCCATCCACAGATAAATGGATAAACAGCTTGCAGTGTATCCACACAGTGGAATATTATTCAAACATAAAAAAGAATGAGGTTCTGATACATGCTACAACATGGATGAACCCTGAAAACATTACATGAAGTGGTATAGTTACAAAATGACAAATATTGTATAATTCCACTTAGGTGAAATATTTAAAATAGTTAAAATCTAGAGACAAAGTAGAATGTGGCTGCCAGGAGCTGGGCGGTGGAAAACAAGTGAAGTTACTGCTTAACAGACACAGAGTTTCTGTTTGGAATGATGAAAACATTTTGGAAATGGATAGTGATGATGTCTGCATGACATTTTGAATATACTTAATGCCACTAAATTGTACAATAGTAAAAATGGCAAATTTTGTATGATTTTTCCTTAAAGAAAAGCTTACAAATAAAAAGTAAACTATATACACATGATGAGACATTGCACACCTTCTAGCTAACATAGAAATCACACTCTTGTCATTAAGATTATAAAATGAGTCTAAAAACGAAAGACAAATACTACATAATGAATGAAATTTATTGGCAAAATTCCTATATGAAATGACCGCTGCATATACAACATTCTGTACAATGCCACATGATACAAAATATTCAGCAGCTTGTTTACATAGCATTTGTGTAAAGACGAAGATATAATCACATTAAGATGATATTTTAAATCTAACGACCACAGTGTAACAGAGAGTTTAACATACATATCCCCTCTACACAGTCTGGCCTGATTTACCGGATTCTTTTGTGTATAAACTTTTAACTGTTTCTGATTAACAGTATCTACTGAAGGTGACTTTGTACTACAGGAAAATCTACTGCTATTACCTGTTGTAATAAACAAAGCCACTCATCTGAAAAATTCAAAAAAAGAAATGTCTGCTGGACTTTTTGTAATAGCAAGAGCATGCAAGGTTGAAGAGTAACTGCTAACATGTAGCATGCTAGCAGATATTTACCTTACAAGAAAACTATTAATAGCACAGAAGTGGAAACACACTGTGAGAAAATGCCACTTGGTGACTTTTCTGTTTAACACTGAAAAATCCAATACTATGCGAAGAAGACTTTTTCACTTCATTCAGAAATACCTGATGAGCAGTAACAAGGAAAAGAATAAGTGTCCTAATTCAATATAAGGAACACAAGCTCTGTGAAATACTACAAGAAAAGAAAGAAAAGAAGGAAAGAAGGAAGGAAGGAAGAAAAGTTGTATCCAAATTCCAATTCACACACCACTTTATGCTCACAGAACAGCTACCAGTCAGCCACATGCCTAATGATCTTGATTTGCTGTGGAAGAGAACTAACTGTAGAAATAAAAACATGGTCAATTCACAACTGCAGAGTATACTTCATTTTGGAAACAATTTGAAAAAAAAGAGCAGCATGTTGAAGACCCTGCTTTTCCATGATGAAATATATGCATTATCAAAAAGGAAAAATAATTCATCTTTTAAAAGAAAGATGAGAACAAAACATTTGTATGACACTGGCAAGGCCAATAAAGTCCATCTTGGTTATTTCAAAGGGCTTCCGTTAGTGGCATATTGCAGTGATATATTAAAAACCTTTCTTAACTTGAATCTATTGCTTTAAGGATCAAATTTCATGACTCTGATGTTGGAAATAAGGTTAACCAGATTTCCTAAGACGAGCCTATGGTGTAAACAATTTGAATGTTGGCCATTTTTAGAAGAACTAAACAGAACTTCTTATTTAAAAAAAATATATATGTACTGACATCTTAAAAACAGAGAAAGAACATGGCTTGAAAGATTACTTCAAAACAGAGATCCTGACAGCTGACTTCTAAATAGCAGCTTTAAAAAAAGATACCATTTTGTCATCATCTTTCACTATGCTGAAAATAAATAAATCAGTAACAATAGCCAACCTAGCATTCTTTGCTTAGTAAAAATACCTTAGAGGCAAACAGGGAGGTAATTCAAGATAGTGACTTAAAAAAAAAATCCTGAACTCCCCTCCCCCAACAGACACAATAAATCTACAGCTACATATAAAACAACTACCTCTGAGAAGAACCTGAAAACTAGCTGGACAGCTACTCCACCACAAAGGGTAAAAAACCACACTGACACAGTTAGGAGAGACATGGACACTCTCTCGCCAAAAACCCCAGCCCCCAGGCAGCAGCCCATAGAGGAGGGGTCCTCACAAATACAGAACTCCTCCCTGGGGAGGGATCTGTGCTACACATCAGGCACCCTCACCCTTGGGACCTGTACCAGACAGACCGTCCCCAAAACATCTGGCTCTGAAAACCAATGGAGCTTACATCCAGGAGAATCACAGGGCTGTAGTGAATGGAGAGTCTGCTCTTATAGGGCTCACACTCAGGCTCATTTGCCTCAGCACCCAGTGCAAAAGCACCAGTCTGAAAAGAGCCTAGACCATACGTGAAAGGAGCTTCATTTGCTAGTCTTAAAGCATGTACCAGAAGGGCAAAGCCTACTCAGATTCCCTCCAACAATAAAAGACTCTGGAGGGTGCCATTTTTATGTTTTCTCTACCTTGCTATCGCCAATGCTGGCAGGAGCTACTTTTGCATTTTCGATCCAACCTTCTAGTACCTCCTACCCCCTCCACACTGCTTCCACGGCCCTGCCAGAAGCAGCAGGCCGGTGCAGTGGCCCCCTAGTGACACTCCCACAGCCAGAGGCCCCCAAGCCAGCAGGTGCATGCAACCCACACAGGGGATGCCTACTGAGTAGGAGACTCTGGTGGCCAGAGTGGACTGTTTCTGAGCCCCACAGGTCTAAAATAATTGGAGAGACAGTATGAGAGACAACGAAAAACTAAGGCAAGGTTAAATAATAAGAATGATCACCCACACAAGACTGGAAGAGACAGCTGTTTCACCTAACACAAAGACATAAATACAAAGTCAGGCAAAATGAGGAAACAGACAAACTTGTTCCCAATGAAAGACCAGGACTAAACCCCAGAAAGAAAAAAAAAAATTAATGAAATAGAGATAAATGATTTCCCCAATACGGAGTTCAAAGAAACAGTCATAAAGATTCTCACTGAACTCAGGAAAAGAATGGATGAACACAGAGAGAACTTAAAAAAAGACGGAAAATACATGACAGTAGCAAAGAAAAATCATAGAGCTAAAGAATATAATAATTAAACTAAAAAATAAACTAGAGGGATTCAACAGAATAGGTAAAGCAGAAGAAAGAATCAGTAATCTGGCAGAAATGGCAGCGGAACTCACCCTAAAAGAGCAGAGGAAAAAAAATAATTTTGAAAATGAAGATAACTGAGGGTCTTTGGGACACCATCAAGCAGAAGAGCATTTGCTTATAGGAGTCCCAGCAGGAGAAGATAGAAAGAAAGAGGAAGAAAATTTATTTGAAGAAAGAATGGCTGAAAATTTCCCTAACCTGAGCAAGGAAACAGACTTTCAGATCCAGGAAGCCCAGAGAAATACAAACAAGATAAACCAAAAACAAAATTCACACCAAAACACGTTATAATTAAAATGCAAAAGTTGAAGAGAGAATCTTGAAAGCAACAAGAGAAAAACAACTTGTTACGTACAAGGAAATTCCCATAAGACTATTTCTTAGCAGAAGCTTTGGATGTATTATACCATCCACTCTGGCTTGCAAAGAGCTGAAAGGAAAAACTTCCAAGGTTAATTTGTCTAGTAAGGTTATCATTCAGAATTGAAAGAGAGATGAGGTTCCCAAACAAGCAAAAGCTAAAAGGATTCAGAACCACTAAACTGTCCCTACAAGAAATGCTAAAGGGACTTCTTCAGGCTAAAAAGAAAGGGAACTAACTAGCAATAAGAAAACATTAAAGTAGAAATCTCACTGGTAAAGGTAAATATATAGTAAAGGAAGTAGATTAATCATGTATAAAGCTAGCATGAAGGTTAAAAGAAAAAAGTACTAAATATAACTATAACCACCATAACTAGAGATACACAAAATTTAAAAAATGTAAAAATGACATCAAAAACATAAAACAAGGGGAAGGGTGGAAAGTAAAAATGCAGAGTTTTAGAATTTAGCATTCAAATTTAATTTGCTACCAACTTAAAAGAGACTGTAATATATATGCTTTTATATATGTGAGCTTCATGGTAACTAAGAACAAAACCTACAGTAGGTATGCAAAAAATAATGAAAAAGGAATCTAAGCATAGCTGTACAGTCATCACACCACAAGAGAAAAAAGAAAGAGAACAAGAAAGGAATAAAGAGAAACTACAAACTACAATCAACAAACTGGGTATAAGGACATACCTATCGATAATTACTTTAAATGTAAATGGACTAAATTCTCCAAAAGACACAGAGTGGCTGAATGGGTAAAAAACAAAACCCATCTATAGGCTGCCTACAAGACACCCACTTTAGAGGTAAGGACTGATGTGTACAGACTAAAAGTGAAGGGATGGAAAAAGATGTTTCATACAAATGGAAACCAGAAGAAAGCTCGGTAGCTATATTTAGATCAGACAAAACAGACTTTAAAACAAAGTCAGTAATAAAAGACAAAGATGGGAATTACCTAATAATAAAGGAGGTCAATCCAACAAGAAGATACAACATTTGCAAATGTTTATTTACAACACAGAAGCACCTAAATATATGAAGCAAATGTTGTGGAGAAACTGACAGCAATACATAATAGTACGGGACTTTAATACTTTGCTGTATCAATGAATACATCATCCAGACAAAAAAATCCATTTTAAAAAATCAGCTTTAAATGGTATATTAGACCAGATGGACTTAACAGATATATACAGAACGTTCTATCCAAAGGCATAGGAATATACATTCTCAAGTGCACATGGAACAATCTCCAGGACAGACCATATAGGAGGCCACAAAACAAATCTCAATAAATTTAAGGTTGAAATTTATCAAGCATCTCTTCTGACCAAAATGGAATGAATTTAAAAAGGAATTAAGTTAAAAATCAATTACGAGAAGAAAACAGGAAAAATCACAAGTCCATGCAGATTAGACAACATCTGAACAACCAATAGGTCAACAAAGAAATAAAAATTTTTTTTCCAAAAAATACCTTAATACAAATTAAAATGAAATACAAGATACCAACATCTATGGATACAGCATAAAAGCATTTGTGAGAAGGACATTTATAGCAATACAGGCCTACCTCAAGAAACAAGAAACAATCTAACTTCACACCCAAAACAACCAAAAAAAAAGAGCCAGCAGAAGGAAGGAAATAATAAATACCAGAGCAAAAATAAATGAAAGAGACTAAAAAGACAAGAGAAAAGATAAATGAAACTAAGAGCTGGATCCCTGAGAAGATAAAATTGACAAAGACCAGAATGATTAAGAAAAAAGGAGGGCTAAAATAAAATCGGTAAAGAAAGAGGAGAAATTACAAGTGATACCAAAGAAATACAAAGGCTTTTAAGAGACTACTATAAACAATTATACACTACAAACGAGACAACCTAGAAGAAATGGGTAAGTCCTAGAAACATACAATCTTCCAAGTTTGATCATGAAGAAATAGAAAATCTTAAGAGACCAATTACTAGTATGGACATTGAATCCATAATCAAAAAAAATCTAAACAAAAGAACAGATGGCTTTCACTGGCAAGTTCTACCAAACAATCAAAGATTTGATACCTTATCATTCTCAAACTCTTCCAAAAAATTGAAGAAGAGGGAATGTTCCCAAACTCATTTTACGAGGCCAGTACTACCCTCCTACCAAAACCAGAAAAGAGTAAAAAAAAAATTACAGACCAACATCCTTGATGAACACAGATGCAAAAATCAACAACCATTAGCAGACCAAATTCAACAATACATCAAAAGGTCATAAGCTATGATAAAGTGAGATTTACCCCAGGGATGCAAAGCTGGTTCAACATCCACAAATCAACCAACCATATTAACAAAATGAAGGGTAAAAATCATATAACCATCTCAATAAATGAGGAAGAGCATTTGACAAAATTCAACATCATTTATGATAAAAAAAAAATCTCAACAAAGTGTGTATAGACAAAATGTACCTCAACATTTAAGGTCATATATGACAAGGCCACGGCTAGCATCATCCTCAACAGGAGAAAGCTGCCCACTTTAAGATCAGGAACAAGGCCCATTCTCACCACTTTTATTCAACACAGTATTGAAGTCTTGGCCAAAGCAATTAGTCAGGAAAAAAAGAAACTGGAATCCAAATTGTAAAGGAAGAAGTAAACCATCACTATTTCTGGATTACACAATTTTATACATAGAAAACCCTACAGATTCCATGAAAAAGGTTGTTAGAACTAATAAACGAATTCAGTAATGTTGTAGGTACAAATCTGATATACAAAATTCCGTTTCATTTGTGTATACCAACAATAAACTATCTGGAAAAGAAACTAAGAAAACAAATCCCCTTTAAAATTGCATTAAAAAAATACCCAAGAATAAATTTAACCAAGGAGATGAAGGATCTATACTCTGAAAACTGTAAAACACTGAGGAGAGATAACAACCCAAATAAATGGAAAGATACTCCATGCTCACGGATTGAAGAATATTGCAAAAATGTCCACATTAACCAAAGCAATCTATAGACTCAATGCAATCCCTCTCAAAATTCCAAAGGCATTTTTTACAGGAATAAAACAGCCCTAAAATTTGTATGGAACCACAAAAGATCCTGAATAACCAAATCTTGAGAAGGAAAAACAAGTTGGAGACATCACACTCCCTGATTTCAAGCTATAGTATCTAAAAACCAAAATAATCAAAATGTATGATATTGGCATAAAAACAGACACATAGATCAGTGGGACAGAACAGAGAGCCCAGAAATGAACCCAAGTATATGCGGCCAATTACTTTACAACAAAAGAGGCAAGAATATACAATGGGGAAAGAACAGTGTCTTCAATAAATGGTGCTGGGAAAACTAGACAGCAACATACAAATAATGAAACTGGACCACTATCTTACACCATATACAGAAATTAACTCAAAATGGATTAAAGACTTGAATGAAAGACCCAAAATCATAAAACTCCTAGAAGAAAACCTAGGTGGGTAAACTCTTTGACATCGCTCTCGGAGATTTTTTCTTTTTTTGGATCTGATTCCAAAGTCTGTGGCAACAAAAAGCAAAAATAAATAAATGGGACTATATAAAACTAAAAAGTTTCTGCACAGCAAAGAAAACCATCAACAAAGTAAAAAAGGCAATTTACTGAATGGGAGAAAAACTTGCAAATCATATCCAAGGGGTAAACAGCCAAACTATATAAAAAAATTCATACAGCTCAATATCAACAAGAAACAAACAATTCCATTTAACAAATGGGCAGAGTATCTGAATAGACATTTTCCCAAAGAAGACATACAGATCACCAACAGGCACATGAAAAGATGCTCATCAGGGAAATGCAAATCAAAATCACAATGAAATATCACCTCACACCTGGGAGAATGGCTAGTATCAAAAAGACAAGAAATAACAAGTGTTGATGAGGCTGTAGGTAAAGGGGAGCCTTGTGCACTACTGGTGAGGTTGTAAATTGGTGCAGCCACTATAGAAAACAGTCTGGAAAACAGTCAAAAATTAAAAATAGAACTCTCCTATCATCCAGCAATTCCACTTTTGGGTATTTATCTGAAGAAAAACTAATTCAAAAAGATACATGCAACCCTATGTTCATTGCAGCATTATTTACAATAGCCAAGGTATGGAAATAACCAAGTGTCCTTTGAAGGATGAATGGAAAAAGATT